CCTTTATTGTTAAAGGAATACAGTGCATAATAGACATTGGTCAATAAATAAATAAACGCATCTTAACGTTAAGCTAAATGTGTTGAACTTTGAAAGAAGCAATTTTAAATTAAATTTATTTAAAGTGATACTATAAATTGGATTAACATTGGAAAAGTAACAGGAAAAAATGTCGGCAAGTTCATAAAATTCATCGAATCAAAATAATATGAAGAAAATTTTGAAGTTTTAAAATGAAGCAATAAAAAGAATGAATTAACACATTGTATAATGCATTTGAATGATTCCGTTGTTTTAAATTTTCCCGAAGAAATTGTTGATTGAACAAAAAAAAAAGTTAAAAATTGAAAAAATGAAAAAATGCAAATCAAAATTATATTACAGCGTATACATATATGCGTTGTAATAATTCCTTTTTGGCACTTGCAAAATTTGTTCTTTCATCCTTGTATTATTTTGATTTACTTGAGTTAGATATGTTCATTATTGAATTTTGGAATAAACAATTTTGAATTACTTAAATATCCCACTAAATTACTTAAAATTATAACAATGCATATATATACGAATTTTATATTACTGTCGAAATGGAAAAACAATGAATTGAAACATGCATTTGATAGCAGTATTAAACAATCGATAGTTACATGAACTATTAAATTTGGTTTTAAATGAGGTGAAAAAAGTGCAGCAAGAAATAAGTGGAATAATTTCAAATTTTTACGGTTTATTTATTCAAAGGTAAATTTAAGGGGAAAAAAGAATGGAAATGTTTTGAGCAGAAAACGAAAGGAATGTGTTTTGAACTAAATGGCCCTCTAAAAATATATGCTTTAAGGAGCAAAAAATTGTAAATAATAATAATAGCAGCCATGAAAATGCGTTTATTATTAAAAATTCTATAGTAATTGATATGTTTGTTGACAAATTTATCCAAAAATTGCTATGGTTACATTACATTTTTACTTCAGTTCTTATTTTTTTTTTATTTCAGTTTCATTTGTCATTTTCATGTTTTGTAACTAATTTACCGATTTTCAACCAAAAAAAAAAACAATTTAACATAATGCATTGTTTTGTTTGGACGGATTAACAAATTTCATTTCAACGGAATAAATGGAGAAATTTTTTTTTTGGGTAAATAATTTTTTCTTGAAAATTACATATGAAATGAATATTATATTATTATTACTATTATTTTCACCGGATGCTATTTCTACTATTATTATTAAATCAATTTTTTACCAAATATTGATTAGCCATATCCGGAAAAATATTTCTAGCATACCTTATTTTATGGCTTTTTTATGTAGGCTAAACTTTTTAGGCTCTATTTTTTTAACATTTTTACTTGTTATTTCTAAGTTTATATCAGTTATTGCAGAAAATTCAAAAATTTCTTCTTTTTATTTTACTTAAATATTTCAAAATTCTTAAATTTCCCATAACTTTTGTACTTTAAGGTAAGTAAATTTTAAAAAAAAGAACAATAAATAATAAACGATTACCTCATTATAGTTTTAATTTTCTTTTTCAATTTTTTTTAAGTCTCGTTTTTTCAAAAACTTTGAGAAAAAAGTTTGATGTTATTTATGATTGGTTAAAGTGTACAAAGTTGATCGAATGTTGTCGGAAATGTTCATTGGCCAAGAAGGAGAAAATTGTCGTTTTCCTGATATTGCCTATTACAAGCATCTATATTTAAGGCATGAATATTTCTATAATATTTGTTCCATTCCTTTGCAAATTAAACTCAACACTTGGCCAAATCATAAATCGTATAATTTTTAGTAAAATTTTAATCAATTGTTAGATTTCATTTCAATCTTTTCCATTTATGCTATTTCTTATGTTAGTACTTATGTATCTATGTATTGAAAAAGAATTTAGAAATCAATGAGATATATATTTTGCTGACTAAACAATAGTTTTGTGCTATCTACGATTTCAGATATATGTTTATTATTTGATTTCGTTTATTGTCTATTATTTGATTTCGTTTATTGTCTTACATTTAATTATTCCAGTTCAATTTTTGCTTCATACAAATTTGACAAGTGAATCAAATGAGACCATTTGGAGTAAGTTAAATTAAATGAACTTCAATGGTAATAAAATACTTTCATAAATTTTCATTCTCATTTTTGTTTGTATTTTTTATAGGATTTAATCAAATATTTTTAATTTAAAGTATTAAGAATGCTTAATTTTTCATATTGCATTTGCCTATGAAAACTTTATAATTCTTTTAGCAAAATTAATTGCTTAATTTGAATAGCGAAGAAAAAAAGAATAGTATTTTCTTATTGAATCTAAATTTACATTATTCATAATAATCAAACAAAATAATCAATAAATTGGATTAGCTATAGATTATTAAAATGAAATTTATAAAAGATATATATTTGTTCTAAAAATAATTCCCAAATAATGATTTATCATTTATGAATTACTGTACTAATTTTAGCGTGAGGTAATATCGGTTCATGTTGGACAAGCAGGTGTACAAATTGGAAATGCTTGTTGGGAATTGTATTGCTTGGAACATGGTATTCAACCAAATGGTATGATGTTGGATGATCAAATAATCGATTCGGAAGATGACTCATGCAATACCTTTTTTGCAGAAACAATTCATGGTATTCATTTTCCTTTCTCGGGATAATAAAATTTAAGAAATAAGCAATGGTTATTGATTTACCAGAAAATTCATTTAAAAATATGCTATAATTTAATGAAAACTTATCGATGTGAACATGAAAAAATCCAATTACTTGAATATAACAAGTGCAATAATCGTTTCATTATCTAAATATTATATGTTTGAAATGGTGTGTATTACGTTTTGTAGTAATTTCGCTGTTTGATAATTCTGCTATTTTTGTAATATGGTAACCATTATACAATAATCCTCTCATTATCTAAACGTGAGTAATCCTGACAATATATTTGAAATACTATTTTCGTGGTACGGTAACCATTTTACAGTACATTACCTGAACATGGCCAATTATGACAATACATGTTTGAAACTGTATTTTCGTAGTACGGTAACTCTTTTAATTGTAGTACGGTGACCCTTTTTGCAGTAATTGTTTCATTGTCTAAATGTGATAAATCCTGACAATATAAGTTCGAAATTTGTTTATATAACTGTTCTTCTTTACAATAGTTGCAAAAGTGCTTCTAATTATCACTGGATTTTTTGAAGTTTTTGAATGACCAATGTTCATACATTGATAAATAAAAGCTTTACAAAAAATTTTTTCAGGTAAGCATGTTCCACGAGCAATTTTCATTGATTTGGAACCAACTGTTGTAGGTAAATTTTTCCGCAAACTTAATATAAAATTTTGATCTCTTGGCAGCAAATATCAGTGATTTGTTTTATTTTTTTAGAAATAGAATTTTAAAATACTAAATTCTACATTCACAAAATTAAAAATTAAAAGTTACAGTTTCGTAGGAAAAATTTTACTTTTAGTTAATATTTGGTTCATGATATCCATCAAAGTGGAAATCACATATTTAACAAAACATGAAGAAAATTGGATTCGATTTTTTGAAGAAAAAAATTTAATTATTAGATGAAGTTCGAACTGGGACTTATCGATCGTTATTTCATCCCGAACAACTTATAACCGGAAAAGAAGACGCTGCTAATAATTATGCTCGCGGTCATTATACAATTGGAAAAGAAATTATTGATGTCTGTATGGATCGTATTAGACGTAAATATTTTGTCAAAAATTATTCATTTGTTATAAATAAGCAAATGTATAGAGATAGGTTTATTGATTGATTCGCCATTATTGAATTTTAAATTTATCTAACAAAAATCAGTATATCATATTTCATATAATAAGATAGAATTTAAATATTGCCTAATTTTTAAGCATTTAATTTTTTGAAAGTGATACTTGAAAGTGAATGAAAGTGCAATATCATGTTTCACTTCTTGCAACAAAAATGGAGAATTGAAATATCTTGTTTTCGTTCAGTTTTTAAAATTTGCTCGTTCTTTATTGAAAAAAAAATAGTCAAAAAGTGAGGTAAGTTTTTTATACATATATATATGCTGTTAAAAAAAAATATAAATTTAATTAGGTATGAGCGATATGTGTAGTGGTTTGCAAGGATTTTTAATTTTTCATTCATTTGGTGGCGGTACTGGCAGTGGTTTCTCATCATTGCTTATGGAAAGTTTATCTGTCGACTATGGCAAAAAATCAAAACTTGAATTTAGCATTTATCCAGGTTTATACTTAACAAAATAAAAAAAAAAGAAAGTTCCATTATAAATTTATCACTAAGGAATTCCTTCATTTTTAAATTTTAAAATCTTTAATTTAGCAAAATTTCCTAATTTAACGATGTTACATATTACTGTTAAAGCTCCAAGGATTAGTACAGCAGTTGTTGAGCCATACAATTCAGTCTTAACAACTCATACAACTTTGGAACATTCTGATTGCTCATTTATGGTTGATAATGAAGCAATTTATGAAATTTGTCGAAAAAATCTTTCTATAACAAGGTAAATATTCAATTTTACCATGTAAATAAAATTTCGCGATTCGATTAATTTAGAAATGCTGAGAAACTGGACAAATCTAAGATTGACATAAAACAAAAAAATAAGATGGAAATTTTTTGCAAATCCATTATTATTGCTATTCTTTATTATATTTCAATGAGAAAAAAATTTGTATTATTTATTAAATTTATAATTTTGTGTTACTTCTTGAATAACAAAATTTGGAATAATACACATACAATTCTATTTTATATTATTCTAAATATTTCACCATGTCTCTTAAATTTCTTGTTTTAAACTTTCATTTTCAATTTTGACCGACCTACACGAATCTTAATCGTCTGATCGCCCAAATTGTCTCATCAATAACAGCATCACTGCGATTTGATGGTGCATTAAATGTTGATTTGACCGAATTTCAAACAAATTTAGTACCATATCCACGAATACATTTTCCACTTGCCACATATGCTCCAATTATTTCTAGGTAATAATTAAAAAATTATTTTTCTTTAAAAAAATATCAGAAACGTTTTACACTAATTATTAAGTAACTACTACAAAACATATTGGTACAGTAAGAACTAATATCTAGCAACAATTGAAATGTAGTAAGTACGATATTTGTATTGTACTGAAATTATGTGTTCATAAACTTTAAATTTTACTTATCCGAAGCAGTAATACTGCACCGAAATAATGAAGTAATATCTTGTCAATATAAATTGTTTTATAAATTATACGTAATTTTATCGCCTGAATAAATTTTAAGACTTTACGAATTTAAAATTTAAATTTTTTAGTGAACGAGCTTTTCACGAACAGTTAACGGTGCCTGAAATAACAGGTCAGTGTTTTGAGCCTGGTAATCAAATGGTTAAATGTGATCCGAGACAAGGAAAATTTATGGCATGCTGTTTACTTTTTAGAGGTGATGTTGTGCCTAAAGTGAGTGGATTGTTTTGCTTTCATTTTAACATTATTTTCTTTTTTTACAGAAAAAAGAGAAAAATAATCTGTTTTACAATTTTTTTTGATGTTTTTTATACTTTAGAAAGTTTAAAAATCAATTCAAACAGAATTTTGGAGGATCAAACTATAGGTTAACAATTAAAAATCAGGCAGAAAAAAGTTAATAGTTCAAAAATTTTATTTATTTGAAGGATGTTAATGTGGCTATAGCAGCAATAAAAACGAAGCGTTCAATTCAATTTGTCGAATGGTATATTGTTTTTTTTGTGTCCTAAATTTAATTATTATAGATAAATAATGAATTAGCATTTACTATATATAAGTGATTAATTGGAACTGAAACGATAATCTTGGCTTTTTATTAACCGACTCATCAGTAGATTAATGAATTATATTATTGAACTTTATAAGAACTCTACAAACTAATTCATTAATAAATTAGAGTCAAAATTTTCAAATTTCATTGAAGTTTTAGGTGTCCAACTGGTTTCAAAGTAGGTATCAACTATCAACCTCCTACAGTTGTACCTGGTGGTGATTTAGCGAAACTTCAACGAGCTGTTTGTATGTTAGCCAATACAACATCAATCGCTGAAGCCTGGGCTAGGCTTGACTATAAATTTGATTTGATGTATGCAAAGCGGGCCTTTGTTCATTGGTATCCTTTTTTTATATCTTCATAGCTTCAAACTATTTGAATTAATTTGTTTTTTCTTCCTGTTCAATTTTTTTGAAACTTTGTATAATTGGATTTTTTCTAGAGACTAAATTATTTCTCAAATTGCACTATGATAGTATAGAATTTTTTAATTTTTTATCACCTAAATTTACTTTCAAATATTAAGTACAGCATTAAATTTCTCCCTTTCTTAATAATCTAATATTTGCTGGGATTTTTTGGTTTGAAATTCAAAAATGGTTGAGGATTTTGCTACAGAAATCCTGAAAAAATTATTTTCATTTTTTAAAAATTTCTTTGAACATCGAACAATGTAATTTTTATGCAATATGTTCTATAACTCTTGAAATTAAATTTGATACAGTAAGTTTAAATTTCAATTTTAATAAGGTATGTTGGTGAGGGAATGGAAGAAGGAGAATTTGCGGAAGCACGCGAAGATTTGGCAGCGTTGGAAAAAGACTATGAAGAAGTAGCCGTGGACAGTTTTGATTCATATTAATTAAATTATGAACTATTTTCTTTATTGGAAAGTTAAGTTATGTTATAAATCAAAGCATGGTTTTTTCAAACATATATTAAATTCTTTTATTTTCCAATAGTGCATATTGTTTGTTTTCAAAATGTACTTGTATAATTAGAAAACACTTTGAAGTTATTCTAACAATTTAAATGATTTAGTATTGAATCTGAAGTGAAGTGTTGCAAATGCCATAAACTTCTGGGACAAATATTTCCTTTATCAACTTTTAAATAAAATTCATTTCGTTTTATCAATAGGAAATTATCATATCTGTTAGCATTTTTAATATCTAGTGACAAAATTTCTCCCTTTAATAATGAATTTTATTTTAGAAATATAAAATTTATTATCTTATCAATTAAACTGAGCGAATTTTAGTTAAGAATCAATGAAGAAAATATTTGTTCTAGAAATCTGTACTTTGCATTCCCCTCATTTTTTTATTATAAATTGTTAGTATAAATATTTAAACACTAATTAGCATTATAAAGACAATGAATGAGTTTTATTTTAAAAAGTTATGTATATATAATGGAGAAATTCTTATAATTTTTAAATTATGGCGAAAAAGGAAAATATCTAATATTCATAAATTTTTTTACACATGCATTTTATGCCACACATCCAATCATTTTTTAAACATTTCTTTAATACTTTTTTTCCATCATTTTATGATTATTTTGCAGCGTGATCTGTTTTATTTATATCAGAATGATAATGTACAGTAGATAAATCATACCATTTTCATTCATCTTTCATGTTCAGTCCCTCAAGCCTATTAAATTTCTTAAAGTTTCGTGCTTATAATAAAAATTTTAAAATTATTTCAGAGACAACTAAAAAATGATCATATTTATGACGATGAATTACATGTGGTAGTGATGTTATTTAATTGCAGATTTGTAAATTCCAAAAACTATAACAAATGATATACTGCCATTTGCATAAATTATTCATCTTCATAGAGAAAATGAGGCCGACGTTATTAATTAAGGTTCGATGCATCAGATGAAAAAGTGAACTTTGATTATTCAAATAAGAGTAGGCGAGCCTTTTAAATCTTGATGTCAAACTATCCATCGAAGATCAGATAAATCTCTCTTCGAAATTCTTTTTTGAATTTTATGAAAATAAGATATCAGATATCGTGCATCGATGAGATAAATTTTTCATTTCATTTTAAAAGAAATAGATCTTTTTGAATCATTAAAAGATTATCATACTCATGGAAACAAAATACCATCAGCTGCGAATAAAATAATCATTTAACTCGTGATAAACGATTATTCAATTATCTGAGCAGTTAGAATGAAGAGAATTAAAATATTTTCTCTAACGTTTCGATATGGCTCAAAGACAAAACCAGCAAGTGCTATCATTGAATCAGCAGCTATATCGATGGAAAATCAGGAACAGTCGGATATTACAGCGTATCAACAACTTGGTCAATACCTCAGAGATATTTCTAAGTATATTCAATCTAAAAAATAAACAGTAATCAGCATCGTAAACAAGAAATCCAAACTATTCGGAAATCTACTTAGGATAATTTGAAATTGTTAATAATGACCTGCATGGTACTGTATTAGTTACAATTACTTGCAAATTTTGCATTTAATAGGAAAATTTATTATAATTTATCCTCAGCTGTAAGTTTTGATAAAAATAAATTCAAATTTGCGGATAATTTACTGACATTCTTTGCTTTACTGTCCACTTCTTCCCATTTCTACTTCTTCATGTTGTTCTTCTTTAAACCGTATGAGCAAAGTTCAAAATTAGTTTTGGTCCTTT